AACAATGAGATATCACCTAACCCCAGTCAGAATGTCTAAGATTAAAAAAATACATAAAATGATAAGTGCTGGCGGGAGTGTGGTGAAAAGGGAACTCTCTTACACTGCTGGTGGGAATGTAAATTGGTCCAGTCACTGTGGAGAACAATTTAGAGATTCCTCAAAAATCTACAAATAGAACTACCATATGATGCAGCAATCCCACTCCTTGATGTCTACCCGAAGGACAGAAGAATACTTAATCGAAAAAGTGCTTGCACATTGATGTTTATTGCGGCACTTTTCATGATTGCAAAGTCATGGAAACAACCCAAATGCCCACGAACTGATGAATGGTTAGAAGAACTGTGGCACATATACTCAATGGGATACTATTCATCCATAAAAAACAACAAAACCCTGGCTTTTGAAAGGAAGTGGATGAATATGGAAGACTTACTGCTGAGTGAAGCAAGCCATGCTATGAAGAAGAGGCATTGCGTGTCCCCAGTTAATATATACCAAGTGTCTGCACTCTATGACTGAAACTAATTGTCTAAAGGATATAGAAACGCTGTATATAGATGTAAATACCAGATATAGTGTGTGCATGAAAGAGGAGGGTCTGAGGAAGGACATTTGGGGGTGGGACAGGGAGGCCAAGCATTAATGGCACAAAGAGGTGTGGTATTATCTGTTGAAGATATTTCATAGTTTTATCAACAGTACTAGGGAGAAATGTTTAAATATCCATTTTGTAAGATAAATAATGTGATTGAATGTGTGAAAGAAAATGAAATGAAAAAAAATAAAAGAAAAAAATTATAAAAAAAAGATCGTGGCACTGCAGCTGACTCATAATGATGGGACCCCTAATTTGCAAATACTCTTAGAATTATTGGTTGGAGGGTATGATATTTCTAGAGCTAAATAAAAAAAGATCGTGGCACTGCAGCTGACTCATAATGATGGGACCCCTAATTTGCAAATACTCTTAGAATTATTGGTTGGAGGGTATGATATTTCTAGAGCTAAGGTGTTACTTAGTGGATTCCTAGAAGCTCAAAAGAATTAGCACTGTGAATGTACTTTATTTCATCAGAGGAATCATTTTCCAGATACTTACCTATGAAAGCATTTTGCAGAACATAAATATGGATAGCCATCCTTTTTATGGGGCTTATATTTTTGACATGACCCTTATGGAAGATAGAAACTGTTAGGGTATATTTTAAAGGAAGAGAGAAGGAATAAGAATTTTTTTAAAAAAGAGTTATTTAATTTTATTTATATTTTTAAAAAAATTTTGGCAGAGGGAGACAGAAGAAAAGTGAAAAAGCAAGCTGCCATGTCCAGGACTTGAACTGTGGTTGACCATGTGGGAGTCCAGTGCCCCAATCACCATACCACCTGCCATCCCCAAGAATTTCAATTGTTTTAGAGTTGAAAACTATAGGCTTTGAAAGTCAGAGAAGAAGGAAAAGGGAATATAAGTAGTTCTTTTACAAATCCCCCTGACCTTGGCTGTAGGTTTACAGAGTTGATTCCTTTTTATTATAGTGTGACTGAAAGTTGGTATTCCATTACAGTAATCTGACCTGGGTGCTAAAGGTATATATAGGGATTAGAATAGCCTGATCTATTATTCCATGGAAAGATGTTTCCTTTTTAATTTAATCTTCTTTTTTTCATAGAGAAAAAAAACAACTTTTCAGCAGTATAAATTAGTTCATACTAGTTTTTCGATCTGAAAGTCTCATGATAGCTACATTTGCTTCATGCTTTATTATGTAATTTAATTTTTCATATCTTTCTTTTATTAGCTGTAAAGTAGGTTTAGAAAAAATAATTAGATTACGAGGTTAAGCCACAGTTAAGATAAAAATGACAGTTCAGTAAAAAAAAGTTCAATATAATTTCTATCTTCTAAAATAAAATACAGCCTCTAAGAGATTTAATTACGGTATTATTCAAATAAGTTTTGCCTCTACATTGAAAACACTCAAGGAAGAACCTCTAAGAAAGGCACTTGGTTAACAAAAAAAGTAATACGATACATAAAATTATAATTTATGTAATATGATAGGGAACATATTGAGGGGGAAAAAGCAATGACACAAACGAGTAGCTACTTCTGAAGAAGATACACCGGGATTACTCAGTTAATTGTGATGGCGAGACTGCTAGGCTTGGTCTAACTTTTTATGTGTTAATTTGGGAGTTTTCACCATTTGGTGATCTTAGAATGCTGTTATCTTTTCATTAAAATCACCATCAGATACTTCACAGTAATAGGACCCTAAAATACTAGATATAGAGGAAACTTCCCTGTCTTATATTTCATTTTACCTAGGAAGAAAGGAAGTCTCAAGAAGTCAAATAGCTTTCCCAGGCTCACTGTGCAGATGGCAGATTTTCATAGTCCCAACCTATTCATAGTATTTATTCTGCTACACCGAATTGCTTTTAGGATTGAATTTTTTTTTGGGGGGGGATGGGGTGGGGGAGGTTTTTGCTATAGGGTGCGTGCACTCATCAGAAAGACAGAGAAACAGAGAGACAGAAAGTGAGAAATCACCCCCCAGAGGGAATGGCCATGCTGCAATTCCTTCTTCTCTGTTCTCCTCTTGGGATCTTGGGCATGCATGAAC